GCTATGCTTGCCCTAAGTATTTTTGTTAAGGGTCCCAGAATGATGTCGATCCCTCTCTGCAAGAGGATTGGGTAGACTCCATCTGGTCCCGGAGCTTTTAGGGGTTCAAAGGTATTGACGGCCCACTCTACCCCTTGCGGGTGGACTATCTTAGCTGCCAAGGCCCATTCTTGCGGTTTGTAGGTGTCTCTACAGGTTTCTGTTCCTTGTTCCATATCCCCCGAGTTCGTGAACCCCGGGAAGTGCTCTTCTAGCAGCAGTTGGAGAGTTTCTTCTGTGGTCCAGGTATAGCTTCCATCCGGTTTGATGAGACAGCCCAGATCAGAGGCGCCCTGCTCTCACAGGATCTTTACCAGCCTTGAAGCTTCAGATTGGCTCTCCACCCCACTGCTAAATTTCTTCCAGCCCTCGTTTTTGGCTATTACGAGTGCTTTATTATATTTCCTCTGAAGACCTCTGCGATCTTCGAGGGCCTTCTGCCTGCTGCATTCCGTGTACGCGGTCTTCACCTTGTTCCACGCTTTCCTTAGCTGGCATCTTAAAATGGACAGTTGGTTATTCCACCAGCTCACCATTTTTGTATTCCGCGGTCTTTTAATGTTGCAGTTGTTTTCATAGGAGTCCCTGATCACTTCTCCGAGACGTTCGGCTGCATGTTCCAGGTCTCTCTTGTTTCTGAACCTTGAGGGTACATCTTGGATCCTCACGAAGAGTTCCTCTCTGTAACTTCCCCAGTTTGTGTCCTTTGGGTTTCTCCTAGGGATCTGTTCCGATTCGCACGTTAGTGACAGGCGTATTTGGCTGTGGTCTCAGCCCGAAGGTTCTTTCGACACCCTCCAGTCTTTTACCCAACGTGCCATGCCTGTCGTGCAGATGGTTATGTCCAACACTTCATGTCTTCTGCAGTCCATGAAGGTTGGTTCTTTCCCTCTGTTCAGGATTTGAAGGTCCTTTTCCATAATGAAGTCATTTAGGGCTTCTCCTCTAACATTGGTATTTGAGCTTCCCCACCCCAGATGGTGTGAGTTCTCATCGCACCCAAGCAGAAGTTCCAGCCTTTCGTCCTTCACTTTTTTGACGAGTTCTTCGACCTCCCTTGTTGGGGGAGGTTCCATGGAATCATATGGCAGGTATGCTGATCCCGCTATGAATTCCAGGGGCTCGTTCTTCTCTGTGAGGACCTTGAGCTTCACGGCCGTGAGGTCCTCTCCGCTTTGTTGGTATAAGAAGGTTGCCTGTGCGCCTTTTACTAACACACAGGTCCTAACCTTCTTTCCTTGGGTGTTCGAGTGAAAAATTCTTCCACACCCCCCCTGGCCCTTTACCTCCCCGTTCACGAACCATGGTTCTTGAATTAGGGCTATGGCTGTCTGCACCCCAGCTAGCGTCTTGCAGAGAACTGCTGAGGCGCTTTTACTGTGATGCAGATTAATCTGGACTATTTCTATCGACTTATGAACCATCTTTAGGCTCACCCGTCGATAGGCTTGTGCTTCTCCTCATGTCGGTTCTTCTCGAGCAACTTAATAGTTGCTCTTTGAGTCCCGCAGTGAGGTTTAAAATTGCAAGCCTCTAGGGCCCGCAGGATTTGATCCCTGATCAGGGCAGCAAAGTGGGCGCCTGTGGCTCCCCTTGTTTCACTGCCTCTAATCAAGACCCAGTCTCCTTTAAGGTCGGGGTTCTGCCGCCCCATGAGCACGATTGCCTCCTGGGCGGTGACATCCTCGTCCCCGAGGTGAACTACCACCCGGTGTCGCTTCGGTAGTTCCTCCGGTGGCATCACCGCGAGGACGAGGTCCCCGATTTTGTTTTTGGGAAACAGTCCTTTCAGCCAGTTTCCCGTTTCTTCGTCGGTGCAGCCGACAATGGCTGCCCCGTCCCTCTCCCACACACCCTCAAAAGTCGGTGCCTTAGTCCCCTCTGGTAAGGAGAGGATCTGGGACCTAAGCAGTCCCTTCAGGCCCTTGATTTCTTCGGATGTCATCTTTCGATCTGGGTAGTTCTCTGGGACGAGAGCCCACCTGATCATTTTTTTGCGACCTGAGCGTAGCTGCCAAGATCAGTCTTGGGCCTTTTCTCAGGTCGCGTGTTGTGGGGGCTTGGGGTGCCATCGGGTTTCAGCCGTTTCGCGGCTGCTACCCCCCCGGCATTCCCTCGCCCCCACTCACACCCTTGTTTGTCCCAGAAGGAGTGCTTGAGGCTGGGTTAGCCCTTCTCTCCTTCTGGAACCGACGCCTTGCCGCGCCGCTTGGTCTTTTCCCCCTGGGCTGTTCTCCACCAGGTCCAGTATTCTGGCCCTGGGGTTCTTCCGTCCCAGGTGGTTTTTGTGTTTCTTTTTGTTTTCTTGTCTCCATATAAGTCCCACGAGTACCACGGTAGTGCGGTATCACCCAGGCAGAGCCGTGTATCCCTGGGGCTTGGCTACTTACGCTCGGAGGTCGCCTGGTATCCGAGGGAACCGTTTGAGATGCAAACTTCCCCTGCACCATGCAGCCATTGGCACGGTATCGTACACCGTAGCTTGGAGGAGCTGGTTCGCGATGGGTTTTTCGGCTTCCCTTGTGGTTTCCCACGTTTCGTTCGGCCTTATGTTCCCCATTAACCTGGTTTTTAGCCAACCCCGCGCAGAGTTCGAGACATTTCTGTCCCGGCCTCCGCCGAGGTGGTTATTCCGCCCGGCCGTCCTCCTATCCACCACCCGGAGACGCGCTCGGTTGGTGGCTCAACCGCGCTCTCTGCACCACAGTCAAGGGGTTTAGAGAGACCCGAGCTGATAATGAGTTTAAAATGCTGTATTGAAAAAGATAGAATTTGATAATGGTTAGTATCACATTTGCCTCCCCGCTTCGGAGAAACGTGATTCTATTGGTCCAACGTTGAAGAGTGTTCCCGCGTTGAAAATAAGCAGAAGTGAAGGAACACCGAAGGATTAATCGTTGAGTGTCAACACTGAGTATATCTTCTATTCTTTTGGAAGTTTTGACAATTTTTGCCATAAAAGGCATTGATGAATTTATTTGACAGAGTGCAGCCCAATGGATCGTAAACTAAGAATTAAACGAAATTACAAGTCATATAACCTGTATGGGAATACCAGTGGCGTTCCTGCTCGTACGAAATGTCGCTGGATGGCGAGAAACACAATTCAAAGGTTATTTATTTCTTAGTATAAACATGCTAAACTTTCACAAGGCAAATTGAATTCACTGAATTAATCGATTTTAATTTGTAGTTCCCGCACTGAACATACTGAGGCGTACGGTAAGCAGACGAATTATCCTGTAAGGATTACTGGGTGTATTGAGTCCCAGAAAATTTTAGAAAATTCTATGGTTCTAAGATTCATATGAACAAGTTCAAGTTTATTAGCCTCATCAGCTGATATAGGCGGAGATCGGAGAAATTCAAAGTCCCGTGCATAACAATTAATGGGAAAGTTATTAAAAAATAATTTCATGGAAACATTTGTCCGTCACAAAAGTAGACGCTTTTTTAGGAACTAACAATCGTTTCCAAGAATCAAATTTTGATAGACTGATGGAGCGATTAAGGTGATATAAATCATGAGTTTTTAAGGAGCACTTCAGTTATAATCATGGATAATCTTTCACCAGAAAGCATACGCCATTTGCGTAGTTGTCCACCATACTGTCCCGACTTTGAGGATATAGTGGAGAAGTATTTCGATGACATTCCACCGGAAAATATCCGGAGTGTCATCAGTGATCTGCTGCTTTTGGAGAGGAATTATACTGCTGCGAGAAATAACAATGTGGAAAATTCTTCAGGTCACTCCTGCCATTGTCCATCCATATTACGAAAAAAACTGACTGTTATTCTGCACTGTATCGAAAAATGGATACTGAGAGTGGATGATAATTTTGTGGCCGATCGTTGGATCAGCTCATGGAGTAGGGAATTGACGAGAAAGAAAGGGCCAAAATTGTACGAGCAAGGTCCAGCAGCACCTGTGCTAGGCATTCTACATGAACTCAAACTCGGTGTAAACATAATGTTTGCATCATTGAAAACCGAGGCAGACTCGGCTCTTGGTTATGATGTTGGTGATGAGCAATAAGACGATTTTTTTTTCAATAATTATTGTTTACATATTTATTTATTCAGCGAAATGACATTACATTTCTGTATTTAAATGAGTTTCTTGATGCTGCCGGTGAGTAAGCTGCATTCGACGATTCAATCGTGTAAGATGAAGCAGTTGGCTGCAGTGTTGGCTTCGAAGCTCTGCGATGATTCAAACTCCAGATGAATGTCCACAGCTCCGGATTTCAAGAACTCGTTCTGCTTGGAGCAATCGATAACGATGAGTGGGGCTGTCTTCAAGAAGTCCACTCTGAATAATTTGATTTCTCGAATATTACAATGATCAAATACACTAGCATCTTTCAAAGCCTGCTTTTTTCTAGCTATTCGGATACAGAGGATGACGCAACGGGGTTTTTCCAATGGCGTTCAGCATTTTAAAGTCCAGACATCCTTCGTTGTACTCGGCAGTAGAGGATACTCATACAAGTCCCAAGAACAAAAGCGAATCGATACCATCGTGTCTTTTGGAATCTGATTGAGAAGCTGCAGTTTGCGAGTGTCGGAGGGTTTAATGTAGGATAGCATCCAATCGATGATGGTGATTGTGATTTTGAAGTGTTCAGCCTGCACAGCCTACCACAAATTTGCGGTGAACACTTGCTTGACAGTGCATAGAGATCCTGGCGTTGTACAAAAAGACGGATTTCGTCGTTATTGTGGAAGGAGGACGATGCAAATGGTTGGTGTGAATGAATCTCATAGTTAGCAGTGGAATCATCAAAGATTATCCGCTTCTGAATATTCAGGAACTCTTCCATGGTAGATGGCAGTAACAGCAACCGATGAAGACACAGTAAACTTTCACTTTCCTCCTTTTCTGCGAATTCTTAGTCTCAGATTCCGCGAGAATTTGATGTTCTGTGTCTTGACAACTGTTCGCTTGCCAACTTTAATAACTGCGACCACCTTGCCTCCTCAAACATAATACCCATTATTCAATGAGCTCTGATGTTTGAACCACGAATTGTAATTACCACGCCGCGGAAAATCACAGGGCGATCGTCTTAATCCGCAATCCTCAATTGCAGATGGTCTATTGAGTGTACGACGATGAGCAAGTAAATGACCGGGTTAGATGTTTCAATGATCTTATATCCAGGTGAACTGCTTGGGAAGAATTCGTGAAGTGTATGCAGACAGCGAGGCTTTTGCAGTTAGATTACACTCAGTACGTAGTAAGTTCGTATGAATGATGTTTGGAAGCGTGGCAGATTCGTCGAATGTTGAATAGGCTGGAACTTGTCCTTGAAAACCTAGCATTTGTCCAAGAGGATTTAAGGGCTTTAAATTTATCACCACATCCTTGTACCTCAATGACTGTCGTGAGCGTCTGATCATTTGCTCGTAAAATGAAGGAAATTTCATACACTGATCATCAATGTTTCAAAATTTTTCAATGTCAGTAATCTTATAGCTTCCTGTTGGTATAGTCAATAGTATCACCAGGCCTTCCTTTTCAATGTAAAATTTATTACATCCTTCGTCAATATTAAGAATTTAATTGTAGGTCAGAAATTAGACAAGCCTCACACTATACCATTTCTCCGGTGATAATTCCATGGGTGAAAAATAGCATGCCTCTAGTATAGACGATTGCAATCACTCATGATAGTCAACACTTCATTGATGTAATTGTGAACCAGCCAGACATGTTAAACATAAGTGCCCACAGATGATAATATCTTAATCTTGATAATTTTTAGGATTATATTTCACAACACTATTGCCACCGAAGTAATTAATCAACTCTTGAGGTGGACGCGACTTACCATGGCTGTCAAAGTAGATAACTTCATGATTCTTCATTTTATATGCAACCCAATATGCGGCGGGGCCATCCTTATATTCAATCCTTCGCACGGTTTCTCTCTTTCAACATTGACTCTAGCTGATTCACATTTGCAGGGTCCACCTCGAGGCAACGCATTTCTCATATAAACTCCACAAAAATGGGGAATTTTCATGATACTGACATATTTTATCAAATCACCATCAGTGAGAGCTCGGTACAGCAGTTCTATTAGGTTCTTGGATTCAAATGTCAGCCCAGGACAGATTTATCTGTTTTAAGTATTGTGACCGTGGCCGGGAAATTAAAATATAATAATTCACGGCGAAGGCACGATATTGGGGAATTTACGATAATCTGAAAAATGAAAGGGAACTTTATTATAATTTATGGGAGGACCTGAAAGAATAAGAGGGAGGGGATTTTCAATAATTACTCGGGGGGATTTATAAATTGACTGTCTGTATTCTACTCTTTACAACATATTAATATAACAAATAATTCGGGCCTTTTAACTAATAACTCGAGGGTGGGGGGTAAGGCCAACTCACTTGCGGCTACGCGAAA